TGGGGGCCAAACCCAAAAAAAAAAAAAAAAAAAAACCTCTGTGGATGCCGCATCCATCATCGTCACGGTACTGCGATGGGAAGAGATTTCTGACCTCGCCGGCAGATGTGCCTGCTGGCCTGGCATCGCCACACATTTGCAATCCTGACTTCACTTTCTGGTTCCTCCATCCATCCACCCGCCCTCCCCAGCGTACTTGACAAGTGCTTTATAAACATTTACTTTGCTCGCTATTTCTGAGTATGTAACGTCCCGATAGTGAACGTTGACATCATTATCAAACAAATCTTTCCCAGAGGTGGGTAGAGTAGCCTAAAGTTACTTGAGAATAGTATGACTCAAGTATCAATAAAAAATACTCCTCCAAATAAATAAGTCCCGAAAAATCGACTCAAGTAACTCGTGAAACAGCAAAAGAAGCCCTCGAAAACCGCAATGTGTTTTCTCAAGGTCAAATGAGTTCTTGTAGGCTGAAATGTGGACATTTTTAGGCAGGCACGCATGAGAGTTCTTTGTAATCTGTAAATTAAACATAAATTGAAAGTGAGACTCGTGGTATTGTGGCTCTCGGAACTACAAGTCGCCTCTCGCGTGTTGTTCCTGTCGGGTTTCGTGTCAATTTGTCACGTTCGGTTGAATCCAGAAAGTTGAGAAAGTAAATGGAATGGAGTCAATGTATCACGTTGCTTCCTCCCCCGATCTGCCATTTTCTGTTTAATAATATTTATGGACAGTCGGATTTCATGTTCTGCGGCTGAAGTTACTCAATAGAGATATTACACCGTGGGTTAAGCTAACCCATTATAACCCTTTCAGGGACAGCGGTTACTACAGTGGACTATTGATCATGTGATCAGGTTACAGGGTGCATGAAAGGGTTAAAGTAAAAAAAAATACAAAATCAAGTCAATTGTATTTCAGTTTCGTTTAAGTGTCAGTATATCTGTAATTTAGATTTCGTTTTGTCATTTTGAACACGATTGGACTGACCCATATCGGAACATTATTGCTGTTTATGAGAAATCAAGGTGACAGGCGGGTAATATGTGGCTCTCTTAAAATATGTGGACCATTCATCCCCGTCTTTGTCTCAATTTGAATTTGCAAAAAAAAAAAAGGGTTGGCCTGAGCAAAACAATCCGTGGTGGATTATAAATAACTTGTTATGATAACACATTGTGATACCGAATACCTTGAACGCACTATGTGAACACTGCTTTTCAGCCAGGTCCTTAAATTTGATTTTAGACTACTTTTTTTTAATTTTTTTTTTAAGATATCCGAGCAGATATGCTGAGACGATCGGCTTGGCCATTGAACTAATAATTTCATCGGAGTCCTCAAAGGCGACAACTATCCATTCATTTGATGCGAGTAGGCCTCACCCTATCATTTTGCGTCAGCCCTCATCACAGGTTACTTAATCTGCCCCTCAATCAAAGTTGATGTGCGGAGAGCGCATCGTGAAACATCTTGGACGGCTAGAAAACAGCGTGCTGGCACCGTTTGAATACAGGACATTTACAGTAATTTTCCCCCGAGAAATGACGGTAGCATCTCGTCAAGCATGTTCACTTGAAGCCCGCTACGCAGCAATACGGAGTACCGGTATTCCTCAATTTTAGCCTCCAATGTACCGGGACATTTTACGGTATATTGGGACTTTACATGAGCAGGCTGGTGAAGCGGTATCGGGGGGTGTAGTATCGGTGCATTTTATCATCACAACCGTATTTTTTTTTTTTTGTGGCACAGTATTTCAAGAACATGAGAATTGTTATCAGTGATGAATGAATTAAGGCTTTTCCATTAAAAAAAAAAAAAAAAGTCAGTTTCATCAAGCACTTAATTTGAATTTGTTATTTCGCAGGCTCCTTTTCCATTTTTGCTTCTCTTCCTTCACACACAATATTAATTGAAGCAGTTTGCTGCAATTTTTTTACCGTGCGTCACTACCAATTCCCGGCAATTGCAAATATTGCTTTGCATCTGACCTGGCCCTGCCAAAGCGAGCAAAGGAGACATCAGAGAGAGAGAGATGGACTTTAAGCTCTGGAGGCCGAAGCCACAGAAAACTGGGGGCCAAACCCAAAAAAAAAAAAAAAAAAAAACCTCTGTGGATGCCGCATCCATCATCGTCACGGTACTGCGA